TGGATATCATCATTTTCGTTCAAAACTAGTTTCATGCAATGATATCGAATGTTGAATAACGATCTCTGATCACCAAACTGATGACTAAGGGTATGGACAGTTTCATTGAATGATCTTTCACTGGGCTTCTGTGGGAGAATTAAGTTGCAATATTTATCCAGCTCATCTGCTCCCAATTTACGAAGAAGAAGCCGTACTTTCCAGGCATCATCTTTATCCGCAAAGTCTACTCGAAATAGGTCTTCATATCTGCGAAACCAGGTATCAAATGTTACGTTCGCATCTGGATCATAAACGAATTCTGAGATGCTACTACCAATGCTGTCGTTGGCTGTAGATGAATCAGCAGAGCGTGATATTTGTAGACCAGCAAGCATTTCCATCAGTTTTAGCTGCTGTTCCATTAGTTTCTCTAAACGCAGTGGGTCCATCTTCAGCAAACCCGTCGCCAAATTTGTTATGTATGTGAATATGAGGACCTTGTAGACTACGAGCGAATCTAACTAATGCGCTGGCTAATCTGTCCTAATCGCACGTCAACAACAACAACAACAATACCGCCGGGCACGCAAGACAAATAAAAGAGAAGACTGGACGTTGATACGAGAGCTTTTACTGTCTCTAACAACAGTCGAAAATGTTAAACAACAACTCCGTATTTATACAGTTAGAAAAATCAATGTCACATTTTAAAAATATTAACAACCATGGGAATTCAGTAATTAAAATCAATAATCACGCAGATGCGGGAAATCAATGATTATGCTAGTGTGTGAAATAAATAATGAATATTAATGATTCACCTGTGTATATATTAGTTATAAGCCACGATTATGTTCCTAAGTGTGGTGGAATGGATATTGAGTCAGACTGTTGGGAGCCAGGAGTCAGGATACTCTGGAACACCGATGAGAAGACTCTAGAGGATCTGTATTTCGCAAATGATATATGTTAAATGTCACACAAAGTTGGAGATATACATGCGAAAACCAACAAACTGGCTGAAGAGGCTAGCAGCGGAGACAGGACTGCAGGTGAACATAGAGAAGCCGGAGGTGATGAAGATAACTAACCAACCAACAGACAACAACAGCGACAACTACCAGCACTAATCACTGTCAATGGCAGAGATTTGAGTGAGGTAACTTACTTCACCTGTTTAAGAAAAATCCTTTCAACTACAAGCAGTCAGTACGGATGAACATATCAAAGTCAGTCAGAATCGGAAAGGCCAGGTACACCTTCCTCAACTTGAAACCAGTTTGTAAATCTTCTGCTTCACTCAGCCAGTATAAACAACAAGACTCGCATTTTCAACACCAATTTCAAGTCACTTAGTGTTTCTATACGGGTCTGAAACTTGCACTGCGTGTCACGGAAAGGAAATCTGACAGGTTGCAGACTTCCATCAACAGCTGTCTTCGCTGGGACTATAACGAGGATCAAATGGCCAGAAATAATTTGCAACGAGAAAACTGTTTGGACAAATCGACCAAGGGCCGCTCACTCAACAAATATGTAGGAGAAAATGGAGATAGTTCGCATGTAGGCTGAGGGGGCCGCCGAATGAAACCGCGCGCAATGCAGGCCATCACTCGAGTGGAGTCAAAATGGGAAGCGATGAGTAGGCAGTCAGTGTGAGGGTGATATTGAGGAAGTCGTGCGAGGAATATATCAGAGATTATGAGTAATCGTGGACCCAGCTGAATAGGATGGCAGAAAATAAAAGAAAGTGGAGATTTGTTTTTGAAGCCCTATGTTTAGTACGTTTTTAATATGAGGGTATCGAATAGGGTCTCTCACTGCCACTCTCACATAATCTCACTCCTCTCTACGGCCAATGCGATCTTCCACTGCTAAAATGGTTGCTTCGTGATTCCGCGTTTAAACTTTATAGGTATGGAAATTCACACCCACATACTGTTCGTGCGTCTCCAGAAGCTATTGTTTATACAGTAGATAAAAAGATGCATTCACTGTAACATGAAAATCCCCTCACCCCACTGAAATTCAAATGTACCTAAATCCGATTCCTATATTCGAAAACCACCTTTCAAAAACTTGCGCCGAACCACCATATTAATCTGGAAGTATTAGCAATTTCTATACCGATATCCAGTGAAGTAATAACCATGCAGTCCTTCGAAAACTTTTCGAGCCATCACATCTCTTCAGATATCATTACGATGAATCTGCTATTCCACAGTGTATTTCATACCATTCTGACAGAATTTGGCCAGTTATTTACACTAACTCTTCATAAGCCGACAACAACTCTTGTTCAAGTTACAACAGGCTTGATATGAAGCGAAAATCCGAGCACGTAAAACCATGAGGTAGGTAAACCTGCACGCTCCTAATTGTTGTGCGATTAGACTAAATGTCACCTGCCACTTACTTTCCTTGCATGGCTTTATGGGTCGACAACAAAACGTAGTACGGTTTCATGGAACCCGTTTCATTTGGCAACCCCAAAAGATGGTGAAACAAGTAAACTAACGTAATGAACTTGATAAAACAACCAGATCAACCCATAGTAAGAACACAAAAATATACATGTAGTTCACGAATTATAATTCAGATTCCAAAAATAAGTAGTACTTGAGTATTGTCGCGATAATAGGCCTATAAGAAGTTTCTAGGCGGTGAGGAGTAATGTTTTTACAGAGGTATGCGGCAGCTGCTGATGGATACGTGTAAAGATGTCAAGCCTCTCGTTGCAGAAGTTCTGTACAACAAGATGTCTTTGCTTTTTCAGGTTAATAGGTGCTATCGAGCAGCGATTGTAACACAAAGTGGAGTGATATATCGTTATGCGAGTGAAATATGTCTGGACTATCACTGAAGACAACAAAAAGTCAGGAAGTTTTGAGGAGACAAATACGAGAAAGTTGCCCTTAATAACTACTTTTAACACAATCTCTGATGTCTATAGATGTGTCGTTTTGAATTATGCTGATTGGTTGGTCAAGATATTTGTGCCCGTTTACTTGATTTGACGAATGCTGGAGTTACTGAATATCGTTTCGTCTAAAGCTTGCTTCATTACTCCGCGATGGTTTTTTACCTTTGTCTTCAAAATCTGGTTTGAAACCTCTCCAAAATATGCGTGAGAGCAGGCTAGGTTTCATGAACATATTCTGATGGATAAGACTAAACGAACTGCAGCAAATATGATGAATTTTGATGCATAGAAAAAATCTTGTGGTTCAGGGATATAAGCAGGACATCGGAAAATATGGAAAGAAGAAAAAGCAGTTGGCATTCATGCAAACTTCAGAAATGAGTGTTAGGGCTTAACTACCAGTCTTTAGAACGAGCCTTGTAAAGAATTATTATGAAAACCGAGTTTTCTCACAAGTAGCTAACGCCAGCTTAGGTATCAACTTGTTGCTAGTTAGCAGTTCAGAGATAAACAGCATCACTTAAACAAGTGGATCCTATCTTTGCATTACACAACCTCACTTTAACAACCTATGCAAAATGGATCATCAGAGGTAAAGCATTCAAGTGTGGACCACTTTATTTTCAAATTGAGTAATCCGTTTCCGGAGTGCATTCCTACTTGTCAAGGCCACTGTGCTGTCAGCATAAAGCTTTAGACGAAGACTAAATCATCACGTAGCAAAAAACGGATTGTGTACAACCGACCAAATTTGAATGTAACAACTTTGTACTTCGCCCTTCTGTTCACTCTCTTTTCGCCTGTTTCTTCATTTTACCTTCTCCCCTCAAAATTGTCTTCGACATATGTACTCCTAAATATATATTTTTCATTCCACTCTCATTCTTTGCGTGAGTGCCACGGCCTTAGAACACATCACAAACTGCCTACAAATACAACCATTTCCACCTGAAACTTCAGGTTCTGCGAAATTCGCAAGGCTATTCCTGCAGAAAAACAAGAAAAAACCTACAGAAGATGAGAAATCGTTAACTTTCCACGAAAAGACAAGGACAATTAACCAATTAAGATTTTGTGTATAAAACTTAGGCACTCGTGAAACAGTAGGCTTTGTAGGCTAGATACAAAAATAAAAACATGTCTCATTTTCTTAGCGAAATTATTTTTATTCAAAGAGTAAGATATCCTCCTTCAGCCTCTGTCTTGTGTCTGAGACTGTTATTTGTTTAACTTCATCAAACGTTTTCATGAATGCACTCACAAAAGCTTCGGTAATTTGAAATTTGTCATTTTCATTACAATTTTTGTTAGAGATTTTCTTGTATATCAGCCTGATTTTTTCATTCCATCCATTCTTTTTGTATTCTTGGCAACTGATTTTGTCATTAAACTCAGTAACGGACTGATAGTTAACACGTCAAAAACGACCAAGTTTTCCCGACATAAATACTTTTTCCACTCAATGAAATAGTTGGCTAATATCCACGGGACTGTTTAATACTTTTATAGTGTATTCCTCGATATTATCTGTGTTTCACTGGTTCATATGAATACCTGAAAAGATCTTAGAGGCTGATTCAATAATAAGTTACTAATTTCATAAGAGCGAGTGGAATTTTTGAAACATAGAAGTTTTATCAGTGCCGATACCTAAATCCAAAGATTTTAAGGTGACCAAACTATTATTTTGAATTTTTCACCTTTCACAGAACTAATGTTTCCCCAAATACAAATGCAGCTAACCTCTTATTTAATATCTATAACCAGCACTCACTGCTAAAATTCCACATTTTTCAGAAAGAAAAATAATGGCCTTGTTTTCCTTTTGGGTTCATTGATTTTATGAACACTTCAACCTGGCCACCGGAAAAGTTCATTTAACATTTTGTGGTATTCCTTCCCAAAGTGATTTTGATCTAGGAACAGTCTATAATTCACAAATATGAAATTAAGGAATCTCTTATAGTAAAATTCCTGAAACGGACTATATTTCTCAGTTTAAGTAAGAATGCCGATATCTAAGCAAAATGATGCACAAAATGAGTAGTTGCTTGAATTCATTCTTGACTCCAGTTTAAGATCTTCCTGAGAGTAAAAATTATTGTCAGGCGCAGTGACCTTCACGTTCTTGTAAACTATACCGAATAAGGCAAGGTTGCTGTAAAATCCGTAACCATCCAAATACTAACGCTGTTTACTATGGCAGTATTTTCATGCAATAGAAACAGAAACCACATGCTATGGACCTTACACGTAAAATAATAAAGCAATTCCAGAGCAGACATTTTAAATCCACAAGGACTGTACTGTACCCGAATATCTGCTGCTTTATGCAACCTGCTTTTAAAACATATTAAAAGAAATGACAGTTCTCTTTGATTCATCAGGCACAAATTCATGCTTGTGTGCCCTTTTTCGAGCTATTTACTATTGCCGCACAAAATTTCCTATATTTGCAAATAACAAATGTTGGACAAATTCTTGTTTTACAGTTAGATTGCTTACTTTTGACAGTACCTCTTGGTTATATTCGTGAAAACTCATAAGTGTAAGTCATTCGGTAAATACAAGCACCAGTGAAAGAATTTCAAAAGCCCGGTAGATCGCTAATCAAAAAGTTACAAGAAATACCCTTGATGGGATTTAAAACACTTTAACTGGTAAGATTATTGACTCTTAATAGTAAAATAATTTTCAGAAACAATGTTTCAAGTCCTGATCATTTCTGCTTAATTGAACTTTTAAAGGGTGCATTTTTGTGAAACTGTAGAAAATAAAGTGAAGTATATAAAGAACATTTACTATCACCTCGATGGATTACTGCATTTAGCTTGGTGCATAGCTGCAATTTAATTTTGCTTTCATTAAGAATCTCAAACGGAATAGCTCAGCAACATATGGAGCCTTCCTCAAGGAGACTTTTATCACTAAAATTGTGAACTTGAATGAATGATCTTTATTTAATTTCTTTTATCAGAAAAACTTGTGACTTTACCTTTTTGTTAAAAATAGTTGTTTCAGTACATTTCGCCCACTTTCACTGACAATAAAACCATCTATATTGTCGTTACTCCACTAACTGTTTTTTTTCGGTTAGTGATTGATTTTTAGAAGAAAGAATTACCAGGTTATTAATGTGCTTTTCAAAATCAAATATGCAGCAACACCTTTCTGTACGACAGACTTGCATTCTCTTACCACTGAACTGCCAAAAGTCAAATACCAAAACCTACTGATACATAAACATTTTCTGTTTCAGGTTTTAAAATGAGACAAATTAATCTACTGCAAATACTGATTCTGATTTATTCATGCCAAAGATCGGAAACATTTTTGCACATTAATACAAAAACCCTATGTTCTAATCCTGATCAAATTTCAATTATCGGTGGGGAGCAGAGACGCTTGGTTACTGAAGGTGGTCGTGTCACACTGATATGCTGTGTTCCGGGTAAAAGCAGTGGTCATGATCACGAACAGCTTATATGGAATGGACCAGATGGCAAAGAATTAGTGAATTACTTTTCTACTCCAATATCTGATAGTCAGCATATTGCATATTCTGTACCAGATTTCCATTCAAAAGACCATCTGGTAAGTTATAGATAGTTTCACACAATCATCCTTTTTTCACTAGTTTGTCTTTAGGGTATGGTAGACAAGATTGATCTTGATGAAAAAAACACAGTTCAACGAAGAGGCTCATTTCAGTGAATTCATTTTCTTTAGCTGTACAATGGCATTTATACACAATTTTTCATGAAAGAGAGCAGTAACAGAAGTGATGAGTTGTCACAGACAGGGTTGTTAATATTAGTCAATACGCAAAAGAAATTGACTAAGAGTAATATGGTTACGCAATAGGATGAATAATTTAGTGAGTGAATTGTGATCACGATGCATGTGGAAACGAAGAGAAATATGGAATTATGTAAGAGTTGTGAAGAAATACAGGAGTTATAAGAAGTTAGGAAAGTAGGCACACTAACATCAAGTCAGTAGAAATCAGTAAATTGTTACCCCGATAGTAGGGGTCGTTGAATAATTTTCTTTTTTATGCATATCTCTGGCTTTTCTAACTGAATGACTAAGGCTTTCAGCAGTGCAAAGAAGACGAAAGTGTATTGTTTTCGACAGCTAGTTTTTCTTCACCTTGTGGATTACTTTGACGGAGGCGTTCGTTGAGTTATAATGACCGGTTTTAACAAGGTATTTGATTATCATAATCCTTATAGAGCCACTACCACCTTTCTGCAGACATGGCGGATAGTGTTTTCGAACCATTTTATACAAGGTACCCATTGAATGGCCGGTGTAACTGGATTCATAGGAACAGGTGAACAGATACATGCACATAGAAGTGGTCAGATTCGACGTCTTGGCCTCTAGTCTTATGCGATCTAATGAACGACTGGAGAACACTACTCTTAGTGTTACCACAAAGAATGTTCTCAAAGATGCTGAAATCCTTCTCTTAATAACACCACTGGTTAAGTCTCCCTCGAGACCCAGGTCCACGTAAAGTTTTTTTGGGAACAAGTAATGTTTCGTCCCTCTGAACTTTTGGTTTGATAGTCTTGTATGTGAATCTTGGTGGTTTTGGATAAAGGTTTCTTTCAGAAAATCTAGTTCTGCTTCCAGGGCATCAGGACTACAGATCTTAACAATAAACCAAAATTCCCAAAAAGAGTTTCATGTTATTGGTCACAATTTTCTACTAATAATTTTAAGGAGAAATGAACACAGAGAATGAGTTTGTATAAGAAAGTTTGTATAGTGATATTTCTCTTCATATAAGCAAAACATATACAACTCCTAACATATGAGTGAAGTGCGATTATGACAGAATTCAGAATTAGTGCTTACTGGCTTTAATATTTTCTCACTAATATATCACCATAATTTTTGACGGCAGGCATGAATTCATGAGGTCATTGGCACATATATTCCTGTTTCTGAACCTATTATTCCCTTTCTGTTGTTCAGATAACTATGCTTGTTATTCAGCAATTTCGAGCTGATGACAGTGGTCAATATACGTGCCGAAATGCACACCCTAGTTCAATGGCTCTTCCAGCTAGTGTAACTATCAATGTTAGACCTCGTCTTTTAGCTGATTTCGTACCACTGCCACCAACTACTCCAGAAGATTCAGAATCGGCAGTTGTAGCTGGCGTTGCAGTCTCCGTCGCTCTTGAAGAAGGACGACGAGGTGAAATCGTATGCCGCATTAACCCAAATTTGAACGTCGACGATGTCCAGATCACCTGGTTTTTCCAGGGTCGACAACTAGTTGCTCCTTCAATCGTTATGAAGCAAACAGAGCAAAAAGGTTTATACAAAGTGGATAACTTCAGTAACAAAAACCAACTCACAGGAGTAGAAAATTCTGAAATGTTCCTTTTACCCTCACAAGAAAAAAGCTATAGTTTGAGGCCAAATCGACCATATGTTGAACAGTTAAACCGTCCCATCGCCTTGGATCCAGGTGAATTAGGAATACATATTAAAGAAAATGGACAAGTAAGTTTTGTATTATGTTGATACCTTGTTCTTTTAATTCGGAATGCTTGGATTTAAATGACTCTGTTAGTTCATCGAATTAATTATCTCTTGGATTATTTCCAAAGCTTTTTTAAAATCATTTTTCCCTCACTCTTAACGAAGAGAAAACACAAGATCTGTTAGTATGAGACAGAGAGAGGCAGTCAAAATGTATTACTTGGATCACAGACAAACAAGCAAAGATTGGATGAATGTCAATCACTAATGTCATCATCCCAAGAAGTTAACAAATTTCACAATTAATAGGTTTCCATACTCACATTGTATTACTTACAGTTAGAAAGTAGTTTAACTATATTTATTATTTCGTTGTGGCCGTTTCAAACTATACAGGTATATTGTAATTTTTTCACATACTGAACTTCCAATCTGGTAATGAAATCTAATGTAGGACACAGTGCTTCAGTCTCTAATTTCTGTAGCGTAACAGAAGGTTGGTTTTTGAAACTGGGTGAATATTTTGGCTACCATTCGATTTTAATTTCTTTCAAAGTAATACTTTTGATCAAGGATGACTTTTATAGACAACATTAGATACCTTTTTACATATACACTAATGGTAATTTGAATTTTTCATTTGGAAATTACACGATCCGAGGTGAAATTTCACTAGGATTGCCTTTGAAATATGCTATCTGTTTCACACAAGGAACAGTAATCAAGAAAGCAAGCGAAATAGTATAATGGTAATATAGTACTGATGGATATCAGTGGTTGAAAACCACTCACACTGGAGAGTAGTGCTCGCTAATCGGATAGGTAGTATATGACGTTATGGTACTAGTGAGTCGATGATGTACATCGTTTGTAGCTGGTGATTGTTAGTAAAAGCAGTAATACTTTACAGTTTTTTCAAAACTAATTTGCCATATTTTTATTTATGTCGTTACAGTGACACAAATAAAATATCTGTGATGATCCACTTACAGCTTCTTAGTGTGTGCATGAGGAACATTAAAATTACAAATAAATAAGAAAATCCAAGGTAGTGTATATGCAAAACTCTGATACTGTAGAAGCATTGGGTTCCACATTAATTTGTTTATTGGATACATCGAACAGTGAAACTATATATATATATATATATATATATATATATATATATATATATATATATATGACTAGATAACGCTTCAAAGACAATATAAAATATTTATTTCACTATATGATATATGCAGTAAACAAATTACTATGGAAATCTAATGTAGGATTACCAAGAAATCATGAATGAAGGAAAAGCCTGTGTATTTGTGGTAAAAAGATATTTTAAGTTTAAGACTTAGGTAAGGTAAGAATCAGTCCTTCATCTAGATACACGCTTTCTGTGTACCTTTTTATCGTTTCTTATGCTATTGGTAAGTCATCTCAAATTTTCTTATTCTAATTGCTCTCTATCTCAACTTCATCGACTTTGAAAAGGCCTTCGACAGCGTCTATCGAGAGGTGATTTGGCAACTACTTCGCTACTACCAAGGGGTGCCACCGACAATTATACATTTCATCCAACAGCTGTACGACAATGCTGCATGCCAAGTAATCCACAACGGGAAACTTACGGAATCCTTCGAAGTGAGGATAGGAGTAAGACAAGCTGGCTGCCTACTATCGCCAATGATTTTCCTGATTGCAGTAGACTGGATAATGCGACAAACAGCGGGCAATGAGGAAACAGGCATAAAATGGACTTACACAAAAAACTTGGAGGATCTGGACTTCACCAATGATATATGTCTGATTTCCCACAAACTGGAAGATATGCAAGCGAAAAGCAACAAGTTGGTAGAAGAAGCATCAAAGATAGGACTTCAGGTGAACATAGAGAAGACAGAGGTGATGAAGATTCCTGGACAAGGACAACAACAGACAGCGATCAGCATAAATGGAAGGAACCTGAAAGAAACAACCTCTTTTACCTACCTGGGAAGCATCGTTTCAAATACAGGCGGAATTGATGAGGATATCAAAGCAAGAATCGGAAAAGCAAGACAAGCTTTCACTACTCTCAAGTCTGTGTGGAGGTCAACAACACTCAGCATCAAAAATAAGACCCGGATTTTCAACTCCAATGTGAAGTCAGTGCTACTATACGGATCAGAGATTTGCACTGCGCGTCATAAAGAGCATCTCAAACAAACTGCAGACCTTCATTAACAGTTGTCTTCGCTCAATACTGAAGATCAGATGGCCGGCCAGAAAAGATCAGCAACAGGGATCTGTGGGAGCAAACCAACGAGGAAACGATTGTGCAACAAATAGGCCCGAAGAAATGGAGATGGATTGGCCATACTCTTAGGAAACCATCAAGTGACATCACTAGACAGGCCCTCGAGTGGAACCCGAAATGGAAGAGGCGAGTTGGTCGTCCAAGGGTGACTTGGAGGAGGTCATGTGAAGAGGAGATGAAAACGTGTGGGCAGACTTGGAGCCAGGTGAAGACTCTAGCAGAGAACCGAACTCAATGGAGACGCACGGCTGAAGCCCTATTTTCCTCTAGGAATTAAAGGAAACAATAATAAATTGCCAAGTTTAGAATCTTTAAAATAAACCAAGACATATCCTTAAAATTTAGCCCAGTACATTAAGCTATTTAATCCATTTTCCTGTACTCATGTTGATGAAATAGGATGAAAGTAATTTTTCAAGTTGGGAGTCGGGTATCAGAACGTAATGAGTCGCTGCTGCGGTCTGTTAATAGAATAACGATAGGTAATGGAATTCCTTTATCACTTAACCTTTTAAGAATTATAGTCACCTCTACATTATGAGCACTGATGCTTTTAGAAGGAGAGATTGCATTCATAAGGATGAAAAAGAATGAATGAATTAATAAAACTACTTATAAATATAGTGATATAAGGTCCCTAATGTTCAACAGAACTATGTGTGAATATTGAATAAGTATCTTTTTGGTTATTGTTTTTGTTGTTGTTCTTATTATTGTTATTATCATAGTGTTGACTTGATTTTCCTAAGACGCATTTTTTTGTTGAGTTAAATGTCAATTTCACCCCAAGGGTTTACCCCACCTAGTTATCTATTTGCCTAATTTTCTAGACAATTCCACAAATTTCTAAAGCATGACATAAACAAGCATGAGGAGATAAATAATATGAGCTAATGGAATTCATATTCTCAAACCCTGGTTTCAATTTAACTAACCAATCGAGTCTCTCGTTGTTAGCTTAAATAGAGTAGGTCATTGGAAAATATCGATCAAACCTCTTGTTTTGCCTGCATGTCTGCCTCACTAAGGAAGGTCAGTAGTTATGAAAATGAGCTCTCAGAAAAAAAGTACCGTCACGTGCATGGAAACTTTAGTGTATTAGACCAAACTCTGTCCCACTTCAATTTTTTTTTCCATCCCACACATTTCTCATAAGCCTAGCAAGAATGCCAATTTTTGCATTCTGTAAACAGTGAAACAATACAAGGAAAACTTTTTTTATTAATCAAAATGGGTGGTTGTTCACTTGAAGCTTTGATGCTTCATTGGCAAAATAAGTCGATACAGAAATTCCTCTTCGAAAAATAAAAAAAATAAAAACAGTAGTTCCTGAAAACGAAACGACCCTAAGACACACACATGTTGTTGTTGTTGTTGTTATTAGTGTTTTCGTTTTGTCAAGAAAACACAGTAGAAACTAGTTGTGTTTGGATGATGTCTCACTATAAATACTTTTGAAAATTCTGGTAACAAATTTTTGGCTAAATGTTTTCGAAAACATTCGAATTCCGTTTAAGTTCTAACCTGAATCACTACAGATAAAAAATAATGAGAATACTAAAATAAACTATGCAAGATGAGATTGAAGTATTTTAAACCACTGAGGTTTTTTTGTAACCAAGAAAATGGCTAACTAAATAAAATATTTCATCATCATCAAAACTAATGTGAAAACGCAAATATTCAATGAAGTTAAGAACACAGGTTGGCATCAACAGAAGCAGCTAGAGTATATTTGTGCAGGTTGGAAACTGATTTCCAAAGCTAAATGATCACCTGTAGTCAATTATTCCGATGAGATTTATTACTTTAAAATGCATCTTCTTGAATAATGAAGGAAAAGAACAAAAGCACTTCACAAAAAGAAATCAAACGTATATGGCTTGGTAGTAAAGCCTTGATTAAATTTTACCCGTCCAAAACCCCCGTGAAAGTTAAAGTTTCCCCTACCCTTCCGTCTGAAGCTCTCTAACTTGTAATATTTTAAACACAATTAAATATATAACTGAATTCTTAGACTTTCCCGTCGATTGATTGGACCGAATTGCTCGGTCTCAGGTTGACATGTCGGCTTCTTGTGCAGATGCTTCGACGATGTATAGGCACTGGGTTAGAACCTCGGTGGGAACATCATCACTCACTTAGAAATGCAGGTACGTCCAGTGACGAGTCCCAAATAGGACGAAATACGTATCCTGGATTCCACTGCTAGTCACCATCCACCAATTAAATATAACTAGTATCATGGCATGCAGTCTCCAAAGTAGATTAAGTATCAAAACTATTCAGCCATTTTCATCATATATCTTCATTATATCGTGTACGTCGCTTCTTCCTGTGCGTCGGTGGCACAGTGGTTAGGACTCTCGCCGACCATGCACATGGTCCGAGGTTCAATCCCCTACCAACGCACACCCGATATCTATGGTCGGCCTGCGAAATTCGGGCTACCGATATCCATGCTGAAAATTCCATACTTGTACTGAAAATACGGTGTGGCATCAAGCTATAACCAAAAATAAAAAAATAAAAAATAAATATATATAGCTGATTTATTACGATCATGCAGGATACCAAGATTTGTGTAATTATTGATGACAGGCATTTTTCTTTGGTCGCTTCCTAACCTCTTTGCTTTATAATGATATCTCAGCTGATTGTTGTGTTTGATCTGCTAAAACACATTCGTTCTGTAGCTCCAATTTCATAAATAACAAAACTATATACACTATAAATCCTTCTTCTTAAAAACTCAAGAACTTATGTTCTTGTTCATTTCAGTCAATTTTTTAAATTGAGGACTATCTAACTAAATGTTGCTTATATGCACATCAAATATTTGTGTGTATCAATTCAATCAGTTATTCTAGTATCATTACCTTTGTGATTTCAATTATATATAAAAATTAGTTTTATATATTATCATTACAAATACTCGTAGGTGCTAGAAATTTCACGGGTGGATACGCGTCATTCGGGAATATTCTTATGCAAAGCTGAAACTACCAATCCAACGTGGTCGCCTAAAAATCCGGAATATGATTCAAGTATGTATGAAAGTGGGGTTGTAACCGCACCTTTCTTTATACAAATTCAAGCCATTCGCGGTATAGTATATTCACGTCCACGTTTACTACCTGGCAGTCCAATGGAGATATTTACATCAACTGATTCAGATGATCCACAGTTGGTACGTCCATATAAGCGTTTTATTAACAAACGCCAAGGGGAACAAAGTCCAGAAGTATTTCAAGGTTCACCAAATTATCTACAAAGAGTTCAACCTTTATGGCGTGAAACTGAAAACATAAAAGATAAACCTATCTTGCCAAGTGCAAGAAAGATAGTCCAAGAGGGTGGGAAACTTACTCTTGAATGTCAAGCTCGGGGGAGGCCTAGTCCTCAACTTCTGTGGTACAGAGGTGGTATGGGATCTTCAGCAATATCACCAAGCTCACAAGCTGCAACTTTTGATCAACGAATTAGGTCAGCATTACAACACTTACCTCTAGAGGACGTACAACGAGAGCTTGGAATACTTATAGCTGACTTCGATCATCTATTACCTGCTGTTATGAACTTGGAAAACCAATCCAATGAAGGTGTTTTTAAAGCACCTGATGATCTCAGTGGTAGTTACAGAAAGGGAACTCAGAATTATGAATTAGGTCGTTTCCAGTTGTCCACTGGTCTTCGAAAAGATGATAGAGGCGATCCGGTCATAGCAATGTCACGCTTAACAATAAACAACTTAATGCCTTCAGATGCCACTCGATATACTTGTCTGGCTCTTTTGAATTTAAACCAATACGGTGGAAATGGTAACTTCACAGACGTCGGAAGGTTAGTAAAGTTTTAATTATTTCTCAGTAACAAATAGTCGTTTTTTATTCACTAACTAGAGTAGTTTATCATGTCACTTATTACTAGTTAGTTATATAACAGTGAAACAGTTTTACTTACTGGATGACGTATTGAACACCATTTGTTGTTCGTAATCATATCGAATTTAACTTCGTAACTTCTAAATCTGGTCTCTATAGTTCTAATGTAACAACAGAAGACAAGGGCCAGGCAACAGATCAGTTTTATTACGAAAACCAACAGGTATTTATATGTATTTTACGTACATTAATAGGCTTCTGCCCGCAGAAAGAAGGCTGTCTTCTGATTGGTTGTTTGCAAACAAACGCAGTCTTCTGCTTTCTCGTTTTCGATATTTCTCGGAAATGCGAGCCACTTGTCTGCGAATCATATTTGTCCACGTCTAGGTCAGCTATGATCGGTTGTTGAATCAGCCTAGATTAATTTCTACCAATCAGCGTAGATCAATGTCTACCAATTGGCTAGCAGCTTACTCTCACCACACTAACTCTTCTCCTCAGTTTGTCACAGAAGTAGTGGAGTCTTCCTGATATCTGTGTCAAGTTCTAAGTTATCTCTATTGCATTCATCCTAAGTTTATTCTGTAGGCGAAGATAGCGGAATAATACTCCCGACTATGATTGAACAATCTTTTGGTAGTCTTATTCCCAAACGAATTTCAGCTCATCCAATCAAAACCTAAGACTTGAATTCACTGACTATCTTTTGTATATCTTTACCAAAAAAAGAGAGTTGGCCTGTAAGTTCTGAGTGTTTATGCGTTTGAATATATCCAACAAGAAAAAGTGACGAGTAATTCACCTGATTTTTTTTCAGATAGATCTGCATATAAAATTGTATGGTTATCTTACCCTTTATGCTTCATGGTTTATACTGCTGCTTTCACTAATTAGACATTAGATCACTTTTTACAGTACAATGTAAATTTAGATAACTGTATCTTGGTAAACTTCGTCAGACATATCCTTTTGCTGGCACACTCTACAGGAATTAATTTTCATAACTTTCCTTGAATTCTCTAGAGTACATAAGCGTTTTGATTATTTGATTAAAACTGTTCCATCGATTTCCATATGCATCATCCTGAAGTTCTCCTTGTATACAAGCATTTTATTTACTAAGTATTTGATGACCGTCGTTTTAGATAATCACATTCAGAGGGCCTGGGAAGAGTACATATTTAAAACACATGTCAAAATTTTTGATTACAGTATCCTCAGTTATCGAATAAAATACCGTTATTTATTGTTTAAAAGAAACGTTTAGTTAACAGACTACTTAAGATGAAAAACCAAATTCCTATAATTCTTATTTGATTCATCCAATAAAAATTATGCTGGGATTATACCTTATCGACACGTGAACTTCGCTTGCTGATGAGTTTAGACTTGATTTGATGACCGGATTGACATAGTAAGCTCTGATGAATATTCCAACTAAAACTCAGAAAGTAATGAAACCACCTTGAGAAACTAAGCAGCTTACAGTAGTCAACAGCCTTTTTTACTCAACACTTTCTGTTTTTCTTTTAGAAGCCTAATTTTAATGATTATTAGAGCGGTAAAACATTTCTTTTAAAATAGCTGTTGCAAAAGGAGCCAGGGCAAGGTGTGAAGCACAACAATGTACAACTCCGCTTTTATTCACCGACATTTATTGCTGCTTCCCAGGACTCATGAATCTGCACATATATGCACGTAGTCAATGTATAGGATATCCATAGTTGTTATCCGCAAATATAATTATGATTTGTTGTATAAAGACTGTTAATACTTAATCTCTACAGTCGTCAGTGCGCCAGTGGCATAGCGGTTAGGATGCTCGCCGACCACGCACATGGTCCGGGGTTCGATCCCCAGCCGACGCACTCCTTTACCTCTCTAAGCCAGAAATAAAGCTGGTAAAGAGAAAAGGTTGGGCATGGGGTAGCAACCATATCCTGTAAAAATGAACACTGCTAAAGAAACTTCAAGCCTCTAGCTTGAAGCCCTATGTTCCACTGGGAACGTGAAGGAATAAAAAAAGTCTATAGTCGTCGTGTTAACGACAAATCAAATTCACAATTTGCAATGTATGCATTTCGAGGGGTGAAATTTCATCATAGTTTCTTGGGGCTAAGTCAAACCGGTTACACTACCTTGACCCAAAAGGGTGAAACGGTGGTCAGGTATTTAGATCTGGCTGGCGACAACTACTGGTTGATATGATATGAATGGGTAGACAGCTACTCATCTCAGGCAATCAGTAGTATATGCCTTTTATGCAAATCGTGTTAACCATTTGCTAGGGTTGGTTTTCATTATATAAGACAGTAAAAATGGCATAATAATTTTGATAAAAAATAAAATTCTACTGCACTTAACCTTCAAAGACAACTTAGCCCACCAACTATTTCTTTAGTTCGGTTTAATGTCACAACACTAAGATCATTATTCACTCAAATTACTGCCAGCTGTTTAATTTATTTTTTCTGTTAAAACTGCGACTGGAATCAGTCTCAAAGAAGCACTTTTGAATTACATCTAAGCTACTCAGAATAAATTTCAATTGTTCTATTTATCTTTAAATAAAATTATGAATTGCTGTAGACATTGTAACTGTTATTCATGTTTACCTCCATAAGTATTATGCTATGACTGAAACTTCCATATTACGTGTGAATAAATTATTGTTGTTGACGACACGTTGAATGACATTTCGAACACAGCCTAATCACATAAGTTGCAACATCTGTCTCTTTTCCCTCTGATTTCGATGGTGGCAGAATTATTCTCGGCCCTGAAATCTGTTTTATACCAACTGTGAGTATGTACTGAATGTGGACTATCAGTGAAAACAAAGAATAAAGTTAATGGACAGTAAATAACCGGATGTCAATATTTGTATGAGTACAGTGGTGGTGCGCTTGGAAAATCAGGCAGTAAATATTAGTGAATTAATGTTTACCACATGCAATAAAATCAATGTAAAATTCTACAGTGGTGCTTAAGCTTTTTTCTTATACTTAAATTACTCCTGCAGTCGGGAGATAAGTGAACTGTTTTTGACTTTAGAGTTTATAGACTGTAGGAAAAGGGGTTTCTGATGAGGCACAAAAGTCCTGCGTTTAAGCTACCTAGGCTAAAATTATTGTTCTGTTTCTCTTTAAGTATCTGGTAACTGAGTCCCGATGATTATTCTCTCAAAGATTTTTAGTGAGACAATCACCCTTTGACGTGTACTGCAATACAGATGTACACCATAGGAAAGTGTTTCATATGATAACAGGAGTTTTTAACTGAAGATCTTGATAAATGTTGATTACAAGTAATATAAATAGCGCATATACCTCTGTTTTTCATTTGCTTTAAACCTCCATTTCTCTGTTGTCCAATCAGCGTTCATTTTCAAGTGTTGGTTAGCAGATATTTTATCGGTTTAAGGGATTCATCATGAACTGACCTTGGTTAGAGGACCATTGGAAAGCCTGGAAGTATTGGAAACTTTGAGACTCTTGAGCAGTACGCACCCACCGGGGTTAGAACCCAGGACCTTCTGGTCACAAGATGAGCTCGCAGACCATTAGGCCACTGGGATCTGATCCAATGGCCAGCCCATATTTTCCAACTTCTGCGGTTCCTTTTGTTTATATCCAATATTTTAAGAGTCTTATTTAAATGTGTCAGATAAAACTAGATGTCAGCAAAACGAAGCTCTAAATCTGTACAACATCATGATATTTCCGTTATTTTTCATTTGATTGTAGCATTCTACCAGACGTCGTTTTGAAACCACGATTTGTCCGTTCAGGCACTCGCCTAAGAGCCAGCGGATATCCTGGAGAAAATTGCAGTTTAACATGTGAAGCGTATGGTGGTCTTCCAAATGAAATGGGATTACGTGTCAGACTTCTGAAAGGTCCCGGTGTTACTAAACTCATTTCTTATATGTCTAATTCTATGTATACGGAAAATAAGAATCCCGCAATCAAAACATATGATGGTTTCACTGAATATGAGACAGGATACTCTTCTATTAATGATAGAAATCGTAACCGGCCTACATTGCTCTCCGAAAACAGTGGTCTGATTGATTCATCCACATCCGACGCACAATACATGAGTTCTATGACCGGAAAAAGTAAAATTGAAGGATCTAATAGTAATAGTTATATAGAAATTGTGAGACCAGGTGACAATCCTCGATACCATTTGACTGTTGAACCAGATCCACGGAACTCGTATGCAACAATTTTACGTTTAGATATCACAGGTAAATATTTTTAGTTTGTATCGTCTTTTTCATGCATGATTTATGGGCCATGAATATATATATTTTCGTTAAATTCACTGGTATTCTGTTGTTTTTTAAACACAGACGTTTTCTTCTGAATAAATCTCTGCATTTTCTAAGCTGAGTTAATACTTATTTATTGCTGCTTTATGAGTTCCTTATTTTTCATAATACTTTTTAGAAAAATATATGTGCTCCACATGTTATTAAATTTAATCTGACTGCATGTTCAGCATATTTATTATTTTCAAGAGTTGATTTATAAGGATTTGACTTGTTTTTCGAATTAGACCACGGAATGATATCAGTTAAAGAACCACTGAAAACCAGCCAGGGAGCACTGGAAAGCTGTTTCATCCTAGTCTGGCAATCATCAGCAGTACACATCCGCTGGATTCGAACCCAGGACCTTCCGATTACTCAGTAACCTCGCATAGCATTAAGCCACTGAAACCCGATTCAATGGCCCATGAATTCTAACTTCTACCATTTCAGGATTTTATCGCAACCACCAACCAGGATGAAACAGCTATCCAGTGCTCCTTGGATTGTTTTCAACAGTTCTCTAACTGATACCGATCCTGGGAGTACTGGACAGCTGTTTCGTCCTAGTTTGGGACTCTTCATCAGTATGCACCCCGGGGTTCGAAATGGTCGCGCTATGTCGTGAATTGGCACAAGTTAGAATTCAAGGACCATTGGATCGCGTCCCAGTGGCTCAATGGTCTACGAGCTCGCCTTGTAACCGGACGGTCCTGGGTTCGAACCCCTGTGGGTGAGTACTGCTGAAGAGTGCCAAACTAGGAAGAAACAGCTGTCCAGTACTCCTCTGATGGTTTTCCAATGGTTCTCTAACTGATGTCAGCTCATGATGAAATCCTTCATGCAATCAAACAACAACAAAAATCCCAACAAAACCAATACTTGATATCTATCCGTGGTCAAACATTTATAATTACTTTCATCTGACTTGAATTATTTCTGTGCGTCTTGTCTGTTTTAAAAGTTGTGTTCAGTTCGTTAACTTTGCTTACAATCTCATTTTACTTTTCCTCATGTTTTCCCATGAAGCTTGACCGCTTATATTGAAATGCGTAAAATGTTATTCTCTTCTACCTAGCATAAATAGATACATGCATTTAGGTTTTGGTCGCTTTATTATCCTTAATCATATCAGAAAATTTCTTAACAATCATCAAACAGACTTCCAGTCTGTTTAAAATCAATCTGTGGATACACAGTGTTAGTAGTTTGCATGCAGGTTATAAGACTATCCGACGGAAAGTAAAATTCCAGTGTTATATGAATAACAGCTTGAATAAAAAGAAATTGCTGCAATATAAGAGTTTTAGTTTATCAATAATATTCAACAAACCATTAGGCTTAAATATCTTTCAACAACAAAAACAACACCGTCTTAAGTGTTCATACTTTCTCGCCTGTGATCACTTCTCCCACACAGTATATTTTCAAAAACTTGTTCTTAACTTAGTCTCAGACAATACTTAATATTAATGGGTAAATTGTTTTATTGTTTTTTTAACGACATTCTTTTATCAGCTGTCAAGTTGAATTTACTTCACACACTTTGAAACTTTTGCAGACACATATTGAAGGGAAGGGTAAGTTCAATTGGTATAATCATCATGTCTAGCTTTCGCAATTTCATAAACTTTATCAGTAACAACTAAATTTTGCTGAAAACGACATTTAAATCATGTGACAAGAAATATATACTTCAGTTTTGTTTAATTTTGGTATTATTCAGATCTGTCACCAGAAGATAACTCGTTTTACCTGTGTGAAGCACTTTCCGGACCTCATTGGCGAGCATTCACTCCAACTTCAGCTGAACCTCCTGGAAGGGTGACTGTTTGGTTTGCACCCCCAGCAGCCGAACCTAGACGTGTTACAGAAATATCAGACACCATCGATACAGATGATAATTCCATTCAGAGTGAAGCAACCACACTGCAGGGAAAAGATGTTGTTTATGGTTTATCACATTTACCTTCTAAAATAGCCTGTCAGGCACTGGGACAGCCACCGCCTCAATGGAAATGGGTGGGTCCACAAAGCGGACCAAATGTACCACTAGGTGAACCAAATAATTCAAGAGGGTAAGTTGTTGTACTGTCAGTTCTGCATAACCAACTGATAAATCTGTGTAGAATTCCACACAAAAGTCAATCAGCCTAGTATATTTCAAAAGATCACAGAAAAAAAGAAGACAAATATAATATTACCATTGCTAAATACGGGTAGGAAATGAAAGTAAAGATTTTAATGAAGATAAGTGAAGATTATAAAAAGTGAATACAGTCGCTTTGTGCATACTTCGCTGTTAGACTTCACATTTACTCCTATTTGCTTCTCCAACTAGTCTAGCCTTCTTAATTGTACACTTAAGTCACTTGATCAAACGACTATATCTACAGCTGTACTTATAAGGCGAAATACATAACTTCTAAAGGACAGTAACTAATAGGATTCATTTTAACAATCAATTTTCTGCCGTAGATCTTACTGTCATGCCCATAACAAAAACTTTCATTCAAGGCAGCTATAGAATATCCTGACACATGTAAGATGAACTATGCAGGTTCACAATAACAGTCTTGTGAACTTGTATATACCGCTACAAGTTGAAGTGTTCATCTTTAGCTCAAGATGTTAGCGTTCTAGTTAATGAAATTTTTGACATGACAAGGCGTAGAATTCGGATATCAGTAACTCTAATTTAAATTTAGCAGTTTCTTTAGTAGAGGTTGAGAATGGCGTTTCGTCTAATGAAAACGTTCGTAGCTACCATATGCTGAAGATAAATGAACGGAACTGTGTAGAAGGTACTATGAACACTGGGACAAAGCAGTGAACTTTGAGGATGGGTAAAGAATTAAGGACGTAAGTAAATAATGAGTTCTGATGGAAGCATTTATTTGTTTACTCCTTAGCCTCCGAACACACCGTGAAATCTGATATTCTGTAAATACCTAAAAAAGGAAGGTAGTTATTCCACTATCACTATAGAGCCCATTCAACATCCTCGTGAAGCTTGTTTAGGCAATTTCCTACATACCAGAAACCTTACCATTATCTGGACACTTCTGTTAACTAATTCAAGATGTACAATTTTGGAGCCGACGTTCTCTTACCGATCCATCAGAAACTGATAAATTAATATAACAAGTTTGTTTTTCTTCCTCCAATGAGAATGCCCTCCTGCTATCATAAGCCTTTCTACCAGCAGTACTATTTCTCTTCAAATGCAGCGCATGCAATTTACATTGTTATGGTACTTACTCATCGTCTACCCATCTGACCATTCTACTATTGGTAGAATATGTATGATTAATCTTTTCAACTAAGGTGGTTTGTTATATCATTATGAAATGCAAGAGAAACTACCAAGTAAATGTAAGGTTTCAGGTGGGCTTCCTTTCCAGACAGTATAAAACACTAGGGATTGTTTCATTCTTAGATAGCTTCAGTATCAGTCTAATCAACAGATAGATGCAGATAGGATATACTGATATTAATAAATCACTTCCACAGCACGCGGGTTGTTTTAGTAAACTAGAATTATAGGTGATAAGCAATGGCTTATTAATTTACAAAAGCACATCATTTAAAGTGTATTCATCTCTTTATTTTAACTAGCCGTGTAAAGTGAACTCAGTAAAACTATTGTTTTAACTTCAGTTACGTTAAAACAGACTATCAAGATGGCGAGTATTCAGTCAGTGAATTAACTGTTCCAGCTGGTTATTGGAATGTCGGCGTGTTTGGCACATATTCATGCACTGCATCTAATAGACTTGGTCATGCAACAGGACATGTTCGACTTCAACTGGCGAGTCATCCTGGCCGACCAACGCTGAGAGCGTGTAAAGTAGGTTGAATGCTCACTATCTTTTTAATATATGAAATACATTATTAACACTTCGAGGAAATTTTCATCTTTTTTCTTAGACTGTTATTGGGCATGGAATATCAAAGTGAGAAAATAGCTGGACAGTTTCATTCGAATCAGCGACTTGAAGAAAAATCCCCCACTTAGTGTTGAAGCTCACATCAATTAGCCCTAAAGACTGAAAATAAACACTGACGAATTCGAATCCAGTTACTGTTGCACAGGCTCCGTTGGATAGACAAATCCAATCTAGTTTATAATTTTTAAAAATTGTGACTTAATTGTGTGTTTCTTTGTTTTTTGCTGCCATAAATCATGACGAATTCACTCCAAAGCTTTAGTGAAAAATAATCACCTAAAATTTGAAACAGTGTCAAGCCGAGGATGAATTTTTAAGTACACATGTATCTGAATTCACAGAAGACGCGTGTCTGCTACTGTCATTAAACAATATGCTGATTTATGAGGAATTAGTAAGTACTAGAAACCAGGAGGATGGACCAGTTGCTGTCTCTTCTGAAAAAAGAAAACAACTTATGAAATAAACCATCTAAAATTCTCCTTCAGTAGTTCGGTATATATATATATATATATATATATATATATATATATATATATAGTCCCGATTCAAATCAGTATTAAAGCTGATTCAAGGATGAAATAATTCCTGACAATATATCAGATAACAGAATAATCCATTAGACACCAGTCGAAAATTTTAAAAAAGGAGACAGAATTTACAGTATTCATAAAATACTAACAAACATATACTTGTGACCATTGCATCTATATTTGTCTCATGTCGTTGAAAGTCTCTATTATAATTATACTAACTTACTTGTATTTGATGGATAAAAATTTCTAAAATGAATTGGACTCGTCTACTAATCCTCCTAAGTATATAGTATGCATCAATATGTATTCCTTATGTATGCTTTATTTTCAATATGTCTAATACACAGTATAACATCCTCATAATTATTTCTCTGTACTTGGATTGTGGACAACAGTCAACACTATGACAAACTATTTTCTAACTTTTTGCAGTCCGTTACAAATTCCACACATAGGACAGGATAAAGGCGTCTTGCAAATTGCCAAGTTATTCCACGAGATTGGGATAATTGTTACTGAAATGAAGTCCAAGTAAAATACGAGACAATCTGAATAGCATAGCAACATGCATGACTCCTTCAGTTCACAAAAGTTCCGCGAATCAGCTTCTTTCATAGAAAGTAAAGTGACAACAAGAAAAATGAAACTAGAACCGGCAAGGTCGATGTGTCGAAATTTTTTTCTCTGCCCCAATACTTCGTCTAAAATGTTTTCATAATCAATTACTTCTCACCACCACTAAATATATTTTTGTACTTCATTACAACCGAATACAAATCCTCGGGTCTGTGCAGTGAAAGCGTGTGTTGTCTTATCATCACATGTGGATTAGCTAACGTCCTGAGCAAATCATAGGAATTTCTCTGCTGAAAACATTTATATAAACATGGATATTTATACGTTTACAGTAAATCAGTTAAGTGGAATATTCCACTTTCTGACAAAAAATATATAGGTCTCATCATCTTCACTTTCGACTTCAGATTTTCGTTTCGAACACTCACTAACTTTTATGGCTTTTTATGACTTGCGTGATTACCTACGGTAAATACTTTTAGTATAACAGTTTTATGGGCTTTAGAATAATTCAAAAACCAAAATATTTCCTTTAAAATAAAACAGTGCTTATTTTGCAAATTATACTTCTTTATACTGATGCATATATATATATATATTAGTATTATTATTATTACTATTATATTCCTCAAATTTTCTGATTAGGTTGAGGCAACTTTAATTGAGCTGTGTGTCGAACCCCCAACTGAAACTGGAGGTCTACCACTAACTCATTATGAATTAAGGATTCAAACTCATCCACGTGGTGCTTTCCACGGACCTTTCGCCTATCTTCCTGGTCGCAGAGTGCTAAGGTTACCAAATCTCATCCCTGGTTATTACTACCGATTCGCATTATCTGCTGTCTCAAGCGCAGGTCGTGGGCCAAATGCATATTTACAGGTATTTAAATAAAATTAATCTTATTTTGTGATCGCTAAAAATGTATATTGAATATATATATATATATATATATATATATATATATATATATATATGGTAACTTCCCCAATTTCAATAACTCGGAATTTGATGTTAAAATTAGGCAGTCAGAGTATACATGGAAACCATGTTGTATTTTTTTGTGTTTCTAACCGTCAAGTTTGACAATTAACAGTAGCTTCTTGCACTAACTTCTCTAATGCAGGTTATCTGACGTTAAGAGTCAAACTGAAGATATCATCACACTACTTGTGGATAAAATCTCTGCTGTATTCTCAAGAGAATCCCGAACAGCTTCTTCTGAAACACATTCTAGCCTATGGTCTTTACTTGTTTTTGTGATAACTTAGAAGCTGAATTCGAGCGCATGTTCCATTCATGGAAACTCTGCTGCTAACTCATTCAGACAAGACTTTGTTATTTTAACTCAAAGAGCAGCATATTTTCAAGTCCTTAAACTGATTATAGGGTGATAATTAAGGTAACTATTAAGCTCCAAGAATCAACCAAAATCCATCAGCCATGTGTGTGGTACAGTCTATAAAGTATGTAGTATTACACTACCATGCACTGTGGTGCGCACTTTATGTTGTAATATTAAGTATTAGAATTTTGAGAACCTGTCTGATTTAATCTTAACTTCTGATATCAAAACCACTAATGCTATTATCTTTAAGATGTATCGTACTTTTTAGTATGTATTCATTGCATATTTTTGTAATCACTCATTGATATTTTCTTAAACAGGTTACAACTAACCAGTTATCTAAACCGGTTATAAAGTTACTCGCTTCTCAGAATTATATAAGTCCAACAGGATACAATGTTCACTGGAATGCAGAGACCACAAACGGCATGGACATAAATCAATATAATATAAATATAAGACCAGTAGAAGTTGATTATTCTATGGGTAAGTTCGCAACACTTTTTTCAAAAAATTCTCCCTTTTTTAAATACTAGAAAGTGAAACAAATTTATTACAGTCACATTTCTGATGGTCTCTTAGGACCTTTCATTTATCTTGTTCTTATCTGATTTTTTTCAAATATTCTAATGGATTATTATTGGGGTAATGTGGCCAAGATAGCAAATATTATAGATCATCGTAATTCATCCTCCAAATTCTATATTAAAACAAAAAAATGAGCAAAGAATATCCTTTTCGATAATTTCCTCTTCTGGTCCTACAATTATATATATATATATATACGTTTGTATACATAGAACATTCTAGAATAGTCGTCATTAACAATATTAGTGTTTCTAAATAACATCGATTTGTTAAGATCACAATGGAATTACCACAGTTCAAGGAAAATCCATAAGTTATAATAAGCATAAAAAAGTAATAGTGAATAGAATATCAAATAAAATTAAGGAAATTTTCACAACAAATTGAGGATCATTAAAACCTTGATGGCCAAGGTAAGGACTGTGCCTGAACCAGCTTCTTTTAGATGCATAAGTTAGGTTTCTTAATGTAGATCCCAACACCCTCAGCAATATGTAGTAAACGAACTCTTAAGGTAAAGTTAAGATTAGTTGGTATCCTGTAGATGACTATTAAAGCCTCTTCAACACCAACCTTGTGTTCTGTATGCACAAGATGAGATAGAATAGCGCTATGAATAGATTTTGTTTGTTCCTTACTTAACCACTTTTCAGGATGTTGTTCATAAATCCGACGATGAGTACGCCTAATTGTACGGCCTATATAACTGGCTGCACAGAAGCAGTCATTCCTTCCTTACAATAAGCCACATAAAACATTGAAAAACCCATTTAATAGTACGATATCATGATAAGACACTAAACTAAGATGCTTAAACTATTTTTAGATAGAAAAGTGTGTCTTCGAATTAAAAAGTTGTCTGGTGTAAGCTAATTCTGCAACTAGGAAATAATACATATGGATATCATTTACATTTTCGAATCGATGGAAACATTATAGGATGTTGCTGAAAATCTAAAATTCAAAGGAAAGATTCCCGACTACCCTATGAAGTGTTGTTTTATGGGAACAGATAGAAGGCAATATTTCAGCTGAAATTTTAGTAGGTAACCATGTTTTGAAAAGAAATGTTTGTTAGTCCAGTTTCTACACCAGTCCAATCTCCACTTTAAATTTCTGCTAGTTTTATTTATAGAGTTAAATAACTTTTCATTTCAGATATTTAAGCTGTATTTTATTTTCTTCAAAGTGACGTCAGTAATCATTACTCAAACTCTCTTTGACTACTGAAAGTATAAAGAGAATACAACTTTTGAATAGATCCCCGTCTTCAAGGCCTGTTTAACTTAAATCGTTTTATTTGACAATCCCGAAAACATCTCTCAAAGTATTTTGTAAAAAAATGTGCAATTTCGCAAATACTTAGTACATTTGTTTTGGTAATCGGATTAGAAATTACTGTGAATGACAACTTATATTACCTTAAGTATTTTGACAGATTCTTGAGGATGCAGTGATGAATCCTTATTACAATTATGTTTAATTCAAAGAAATCATTCATCTTTGTACTTATAAATCCAAATAACAAAAATATAGCTCGCCTTTCTTCCATCACCTTATCTCTGTTTTCTGCATTAGGAATTTCAGAATTATTTAAATAACATCTTTTAATCTATGTTTTCCCGTAAAGAGAAGAAAGAATTACTTCACCCTAATGAGGTTATATGATATGAAGTCAATACGTGTAATCAGTGTTAATTAATTTTTTCCTCTGCAGTGTAATCAAGTTAATAATTATTTTGTTTTAACTAGCTTAGAAAGTAATAACCTCCAGACTAATTGTCGGTAATGTATACTTCTTTTCACTGTAAAACTTTAGGAATGTTTATCTTTTAGTTAGTGCCTTCAAATTATGATGCTAATCGTATCCACCATCAAAATATAAAGTAGTGTAGTGTTTTGTAAACAATGTAACTATGTATGGAATCGTGTGGATTGAATAGAAGTCTTAATTTAGCATTCGTTTACATGCTATCAGAATGTCTTAAAGTTAAGCTTCCAAGTTCTTAGTACATTTTATGTAGGTGAGATATCGATGGTAGTTTCACTGTGAACTAATTAGCATATCAGGTGGAAACAATATGATTTAGTTAATTTTACTTAGAATGTCATTGGCACTAAGAAATAATAATGAAAACTGGACACTTAAGAACTATAACAAACACGAAGCCATCTATTATATTTAAGATAAGTAATGTAACGACTTTTATTTCAAAGACACAGATTGTTTTCTCCCTACACTGAGATCATTTCTGTGTGACTAAGCTACTATATAAACTAATTTCTGTTATTATTCATGATTATTCCATTGGGTTCCGAGTGGAACACAGGGCTTCAACAGAATATCTTCACCCCACTACTGCCCATAAATTTTCATCTCCTCTATGTCACTCTCGAACGTTCAACTAGTCGTTTCCCATTCGGGTTCCACTCGAGTGCCTGGCGCGCGATGTCACTCAATGATCTCCTCAGCATGCGTCCTATCTACCTCCATTTTCTTCGGAATATTTGTTGGGCAGCAGGTTCTTGACTGGTTCATTTCCAGAGTTTCTTGTTGTTCATTCTTTCTGACCAGCCATCTGATTTTCAGGATGGATCGAATACGGCAGCTGTCGATAAAAGTCTGCAGCCTGTTCTAAATTCTCTGGGTGACCTGACATTAGTGTTTGAAATACGAATCTTGTTCTTTATTCTGAGTGCATTAGATTTTCAAATTGATTTCATATCAATGAGGGTCTGCCTTGTCTTCTGGATCCTGACTCAAATATCCTTATCCGTCCTACCTGTAGCTGAAACAGCGGTTGCTAGACAAGTGGGAGAAGTGATCTTCAGATTTCCCCCGTTTTTAGTGATTGTGGTGCTCGTTTTTTTATGGTGGTGGTTGGTTATCTTCATCACCTTTGTCTTCTCTGTGTTCACTTAAAGTCCTGTTTTATCTTCTTCTTCTATGAACTTGTTGGTTTTCACCTACGAGCTTGTATGACACTAGGCATAAATCCTCTACGAAATCCAGGTCTTCTAGAGTCTTCTTACCGTTCCAAAGTATGCTTGTCTTCTTGCCCCCTCCCACAGCCAGCTGCAAAACCCAGTCCAACACAATTAGGAATATCACCGGTGATATTACGCAGCCTTGCCTTACTCCTAACTACGTGCCAAAGGCTTCTCTGAGATTTCTGTTGTAAATCAGTTGAATGAGGTTGATAAAGATTTGGGTCAATCCACAGTGCTGAAGTGGTCTCCAAATTACTTCGCCGCCAACGCTGTTGAAGGCCTTTTCAAAGTCAATGAAGTTATGGTAAAGATTTGTTGCCACTCTAATCTCAGCCTTGTTCGATGATGATGCGTTGAACTGCAATTTGATCCACATACGACCTGCTTTTCCTGAATCCAGCTCGTTTGAAATATAGAAAGTGAGTTGAACTTCTCAAAGGAAATTGCGTTTGATGACAAAAACCTTGTTTAGGGAAAAAACTGACTAAAAAACTCTGGGTTATCACTAATTGATTTACCCTATCACAAAACGCCCAGTGTCATTTTATATCAATTGAAATTGCAAAATATATTTGAAATGTTTATTTAGGTGAGATATCTGGACGTCCTATTGGTTCTTGGACTCACTATAATAACATCGAGCCATATTGTGTTGTATCAGCAGCAGAAGGTCAAAAGATGTGCAATTTCCCAATTGATGATCTGAAACCGGATAGTGCATATGAGCTTGAATTATCTGGACAGAATTCAATGGGATTTTCTGAAACACAAAGAATCATATTTAGGACATCATCACTGACAGGAGTTAATGGACGCATACTAAATATGCCATCAACTATGCGACTAACTGGGATATCTAATCATATTCAATTAGAAAGTAATTTGAGCATTTTTATTTCTGTCATGTCCTGCATTTCATTTCACTTTATAATGCATTTATATTACAATTATTGAGAAACAAATCCTATATATACAAAAGTTAACTTAGGAAAATTTTCCGATAATTAAAGTATTTTTATCAAATGTTCATTTCTTTTCAAAATGAAATATTGGTTTTGATCTCATTTGAGACGACTTACGCCAAATTTTCAATTCACAATTCTCATCTTTATCTTCCTGTAATACACATGAGAACATTCTTCATGATAGAATCCCTTCAAAATATTGATATTTCTGCGTTGTTCAAATAACATCAAGATACTTTCAATATCCTACACCTTAATTTATTTTCCTCGCCTCATATTAGATCGATGAATTCATTAACACTGACATCATATTTCTCATTTACCCTATGTGACATTTAACCTCAATTATAAAAACTATGCTATCTTGTCATTCGTCTATTGTACTTATCTACTTCCTTAATTTTAAGAAACTTATTCAGAAAAATCATTATTCTTTTAGTGTTGTCGTCAGAGACATTGTGATAAAAAAAACCTCATGTGAAATTACGTACATTCCTCATTTTTAACATGTTATTTATTCTCACTATATATACCACTTATTAATTCATGTAGTAGATGAATGTGACTGTTTTATGTTTCCCCAAAAGTTTTATTATCCTTAATATTACTATTATTTACTTTCGATTTTAGTCATATTAACCACGATTACAATCATAAATAAATTCACAGACTATTTACAGATTATGAGTTGATTTGGTTTCTAGAAGATATATATGTATCAATAATAATTGTCTAAGTTTAGTAGTTAGAATAGTCAGGAAAGTAAGAGGGGAGAGAATGTAAAGAAGTAAAACGACGAGTTTAGATGTCTACCCATGAATGGTTTATGGAATTTTAAGGGGAAAGGCCATTTGGACGTAGTCATTGTGCCGATACATGATTGCCCAGCCTTTGTTTAAAGCTCTCCACAAGCTCTGCCGTAGCTAAATCTACCGGTTAGGAGTTCCAGACATGGCAAGCCCGCAATGAAAAGAAGTGGGAGTGCACCCGAATCTTTGCCCTCTGGCGAGCTATCCTTCTGGGATTTCCACGAGGTAGCCTACAACTACTCAACTGAAAAACACCTTTGTTTGGTTGATTCTGGTCATTTATTATCTTATGGGCGGTAATCTGGTCCTCCCTAAGCCGATGGTAGCTAAGTGTGAATAGGCCTAATTTCCTTAGCCATTCATCATACGGTTTACTTCAGGGACCCACCACTCCTCTTGTTACCCATCTTTTTACTCTTTCCAAAGGTTTGCGCCTCTCCTAAGCAGTGGGGGTGCAATGATATTGTGCACTTCAAGGTGTGTTTCGAACAACCTAAGAAAGAGCTCAGGAGTGAGTGCAACTAACTGTCTATGTGTAAAGTGTATGACCGCATATGCCCTCGCTACATCACCCGTGTAATTTACGCTTGTGTCTATTTCTTCCGTTAGAACTAGACCTAAATCACACTCCGACGTTGTGCAGGACAAGCTTTCGTTGCACATGTTGTAACTTGCATTCTGTAGCCCACAAGTGCGCAATTTCGCTACTCTGCACTATCTCAGGTTGAAAGTTATGCCATTGACCATCGCCCAGTCTTCCGGAAGCTTTAGATCTGCCTGCAGCCTATCTGGGTCTTCTGAACACTTTATTGCTCTCTACATCTTTACGTCGTCAGCGTATAGAAGAGTCAGCTTAGACGGAATGGCAGGTCATTGATAAAAATCAAAGACATCAGTGACCCTGGGATAGTCCCTGCGACACTCCAGATGATGAGCTGTGCCTTGAAGATAAGACTCGATTGGCCTTAGTGCAGGATTTCCTTTCAGATAATTGGTCCTTCAACCACGCCGGAGGCGGCTCACCTTTACCTACCTGACTTATTTTGTGTAGGAGAAGGTGATGGTGGACTATGTCAAATGTCCTCTCAAAGTCTAGGAAGACCACATGGGTTGGAATATTCATATCCCACCATGATGTCCAATCGTCCCAAGCTGATAATAGGTTTGTTACACAGGATCTGCGTTTCCTGCTACCATAACGGTCTTCATGGAGTCTATTAGTCCTATCGAGGCACTTCCTGGTGTGATCATCAATTATACTCTCCAGTACTTTTGATGTCCATGGGAGTGATATATATACACAGGTGACTCATTAATATTCATTATTTATTTCCCACACTTGCATAATCATTGATTTCCCGCATCTGCGTGATTATTGATTTTAATTACTGAATTCCCATGGTTTGTTAATATTTTTAAAATGTGACATTGATTTTCCTAACTGTATAAATACGGAGTTTTTGTTTAACAGTTCCGACTGCTGTTAGAGACAGTAAAAGCTCTCGTATTAACGTCCAGTCTTCTCTCTTTGCCTTGCGTGCCGGGTGGTATTGTTGTTGTTGTTGTCGTGCGATTAGGACAGATTAGCCAGCGCATTAGTTAGATTCGTTCGTAGTCTACAAGGTCCTAATATCTCATACATAACAGGGAGTAATGCTACTGGTCTGTAACTAGTGGCATTTTGCCTGACTCCACCCTTGAAATCTTGGCAGTTTCCCGAATCCGCCGAGTGTTGGAGGAATCACACGATAGACTATAGAGAGTTTCAGCGCAGTGTTTTAGAACAGATAGCTTGATGTAGTCACAACCTGGGGGCTTTCCAGATGTGAGTCTCTGTAGCTTCCCTAGTACTATTGCTGGGTTTATTTGTGGAGCAGCCATTAGGTTTTCCTCCAGTGAAGTAGTAGTGCAGCCATTTTAGTATATGCCAGTATTACCCACATTTCTGTTTAAATGCCTGGCGAAGGCTAAACTGAATGTTTCGGCTATCTCCAGACCAGTGAGGTATTGACCGTTTGGACCTATTAAGGTGCATGCCCCCTGGTTGGTTGGTTTTCTCTCCGACATGAATTGGTACAAGCTTTGGGGGTTCGCCTCCTCTCACTCCTGGCTCGTACGTTGTACCTGTTAATAAGTTCCAGTAATGCATCGTGGTCGGTCTGACTCTCGGATATCCACCACGCAGACCGAGCCTTGTGCTTTGCTCGCAGAATACGTTGCATACCTCTCTTCAGCCATGATGATTTTATTCTGCTGCTGTGACTAAAGGGACAGTACTCGAGATTGCTATGTGAATAATCTCATTTACCGATTCCCAGTGTTCATCGACAGATAACTCAGGTAATTCTATGGGTCACTCTGCGTTGGAGAAAAGCCTCCAAATTTCAGCACAGTCCACCTTGTTATGGCACAGACATGGTCACGTAGTGTCCCACTGCAAGTGCTCACGGGGAACAAGATCGAACCCTATGATAGCATGGTCACTACTTCCTAGTGGGATCATGATCTGGACCTATTCGACGAGTAGTTGGTCACTAGTTAGAACATAATCTAGTTTCGATGACTTTCCACATTCTCAGTCAGTCCTGTATTTCTAATGGTTAACAATATATTTCGATCGAATTTCCCCTGAACTTGCCCCGAGCTAAGCTTCAGTGATGGGACATTGAAATCTCCACCTATGGTGATTTGGTCATAGCCGAAGTCCCTTAGCCCTGTTATGGTGCTGAGCAGTAGCTGGTTGTGCTCCGCTCCACAGGTGGTTGATCAGTAGATGCCACCCAGTAAATGTTTGCTATGGCCCACTGTGAAATGACACCATATGGAGTCTGGGAGTTCAATAAGTGGTGGGTCCACTGCACGTACACATTTAAGTTACTTGTCAAAGTATATGGCAACTCCCCCTTCCTCCTTATCTCTGTCTCTCCTGACCAAAACCATTTCACCTGTGGTGATTTCGTCATCGGCGATAGTGGGGGTTAGCCAGGTTTCAGTGAGGATTATTATTTTAAGGCGTAGGTGTGACTAGAGGTTTCTGAGTTCACCTACCTTCCCTCTCGGTCCCCTCACATTGCTATAAAGGTAGCTGACAGTGAGTCTCACAACCTCAGTGTGTTGCAAGGCAGTTGACTTTACGGTGTCTGCTGGCAGGGGAGTTCATATTGGGACTAGTTGGCCGATTCCGATGGAACCGGTCCGTTGTCGTATTTTTTCCTTGGAATTGGGTAGGACACTTCGGTGACGCTGAATGTCACTCTCAGTGCCACATCGCTGTAGTGTCACTGAGTCTCGGAGACGTATGTGCGTCGGTGGTACAGTGGTTAGGACTCTCGCCGACCATACACATGGTCTGGGTTCGATCCCCTACCGACGCAAACCCGACATCTATGGTCGGCCTGCAAAATTTGGGCTACCGATATCCATGCTTAAAATTCCATACTTGTACTGAAAATACGGTGTGGCATCAAGCCGTAATCAAAATAAAAATTAAAAATAAATTAAGACCTGCCTACTTATGGTTCGAGGTCTACTTTCGCAGCATCGGATGTGTTCTCCCAATTTTCCCTTGATCTCATACAACGGTTGAAATACTTCATCCAACTGTTTCTGGCAGTTAAATTTTACACTTAACAGCGTTGGAAAGCTGCTACATCCTGCTGCTACTCATGAATCTGTTATCCCTGTTGGTCAGTTTTTCGTGGTTCCATTGCATCTAAGGTTTTATTCAATCGCTGTCCAGTTACCTTAGCTAGCTCACCGATGTCCAACGACTGTGCAGCGTTGATCAGTTACATTCGCTGGAGAATAGCACTCAGAGCAATTTTGATGGACTGTGGTACCAAAAGTATGTGTCAGACTCCCTGTCAAGCGTGAGCAGTCTGCGGCGAAGTAGGTTCGTCAGTCTGGACTTCAACACTGTTGGATCTCTGTTTGGTCTCAGCTTCGTGGCGTGCGACTTCTGCATTACCCTTTGTCTGTCAGTTGGGCTGTTAAAGGCACCCACCAATATCTTCTGGTTCAACCTCCAACCTGCAATCTCTTCACTATCGAAAGCAGCCTTCTTCTGACCCTCCAGAAGCGCCCACAGCACCACAGTCTCTGCCGTCATATACCACTGGGCTATCAACTCAGCAGCGGCTTCAAAAACTAACATATTTCTTTCCTCGAAAAATTCAGGCCACAATATCTTCATCTAGTTGGAGGCACTGACACCGAAAGCAACGGCAGAATGCGACAGCATTTGGTAGCAGCATAGTTTGTTTCTCAAAATGATGGCAAAATAAAAAAATTCACATTGGAATTTAAATTTTCAAAAGTTATTCATGTTCTGCTTCTGTTGCGTTCATTCTATGCTTTCTATGTTATTTCACCGGGGAATTCCATTTCTCCCTCTCACAACTTATTCTGTCTCTTAGCTATTCAAGAATCTTGCAGATGACATCACATAATACACTACTTGCAAACTCTTGCCAGTAGCACTGACAAAAGTCTAAAGTCCTGAAATTAACTAACTTTTTTCTAGTGCCCACCAATTATAAGTTGTTTCTGGATTAAAAAACACGGATAACAGTCACGGTGGCTAATTGCAAAGGTTCCTGAAGATATGGTAAGAACTTTTATTATCGGTTTGCGCTAACCTTCCCGGATACGAAGGATACTATTTCCATTTAAATTCGCATGCGCTTTGAACAGTTAATATTATTATTGTTTTGATCACATCTTGATGCCACACCTTATTTTCAGTACAAGTATGGAATTTTAAGCATGGATATCGGTAGCCCAAATTTTGCAGGCCGACCATAGATATCGGGTTTGCGTCGGTAGGGGATCGAACCCAGACCATGTGTATGGTCGGCGAGAGTCCTAACC